AATATCTCGTATCACTATGAGGCTCTTCTGAGCCCGCCCTATAAGTGCACAATCACGCAGCGTGCTTGCTTGTAAGCCCGTCAACAGTCTTTTTCCTCCGGATAAAAAAACATCTTTCTTTATCCCGGCCCTTTGATTTTCGTGCGCAATTTGCATGTACGTATCAACTGCCCCATTGTCCTTGGGCCGAAAGCTAACATCGATTGCGCAGCTAAAATCCCTAGCGCCTTTGCGGAAAATATCTGATGTTTAATCTGCTCTCCCTTCCATATGAAGTCCTATCCAATATTATAACAAACATCAATTTCGACGATGTTTTTAATTTGGGCCTCTCTTGCAAAGCATTGAAGTACCTACTTACTGAGGAAAGCATATGCAGATTAATTGTACAAGTAAGCTACCCGCTTCGTCATCAACATGACTGTGCGTGCCACGTAGGTGGCTGACAAGGACCGTATAGAATAAGATACCCTTCTGCAATGAAGCGTTGTCAAATAAGCATACTGCTGGTCTTAGTGCATCGGCTCTTCGGAGAGTTGCGAAGCGGCGAGAGGCTTTCGCTACTGTCAATCCGTACTCAGTAGCAACTATTGGTTTCGGGGATGCATATCTTTATTGCAAAGGTGTCCTGTGCTACACTCTCGATGACCAACTGAGAGTCTTGAATCTTCATGATTCGGCTTGCTGTGAAGCCGTTGTCAGCATTCCAGGAATGTTGAGTAGTGCTATCTCAAAAATTGCTTGCAATACTAAAGGTGTATTCCAGGTGTTGTATTGTTCAGACAGTGTAATCTCATGTGTCTACAAAACCTCAGGAGTAGAGGCAAATTCGTGGCTCATTGCATTCAGCATTGAGACTAGTGAAGTTCTTGTTGTAAAAGAATTGGACTCTACAGAGAGATTGTTTGTTCGCCATAATGGACAATATCTCTGCTATGGTACACATTCGGAATTGGGCTCAGACAATCACAAGAAATGGGTAATACATGGCTACAATCTTACCGAAAGAGAATGGTTCAACCACAAAGTCCGCCTGCCAGATATGGTAGGGTCGGAAATCGGATCAACTGTCTGTTTTGAGCTTAATAACGGTTACTTCTATGCACTCTCAAACCAGACATCATTTGAAGTTGAGGAGATAGACTGGACTTCATTCTATCATTGCATCAGATTCCCTCTCGCTTCCCCTTGTGAAGGGTTGACCGAGAGAACTAAGAATGAGAGTATGTGGCGGCGTCAGCACGAAGAAGGTCCAATCGATGACCGATGGACTAATCTTCGACTTGATACGGATGAGAATACCGGAGAACTCAGAATTATTGAGTCTCGAAAGGAGTGGTATCATGGAGCAAGCAGAAGCCAGCGCACTTACTATACTACCCCTATTATTTTCCAGTCAGAATTCGGTGATATGGATGATGATCTATATTTTGCGACAGACACCTCTCCTTCAGAGACAAAAGCATCGTACTCCGTTGTTTCAGCCGGCCCCTCTTCATCAACAAATACACAATCAAGTACCTCGGAGGATTGTAACAGTTACAATGACCGCGATCTAAGGGCTTACCCCGACGATCCTCTTTTACGACTACTTGTAAAAGACGACAATCCAAATTATATGCCTTCGCAAAAGAGACTCCCGCAATTTGTTCATCCAGGTCACGATGGATCTTCTAATCAAACATTCACACTTGCCAAATCCCGAATTCGATATTACGACTCTTCTTCGTCCACATTTCTCGACGTTGTGGATGACCCTCTTCCCACCGACTGGCAAGAGAAACAGAGATTACGGCTTCGCGCCGGATCCCGAACGATTGGCCCACCCCTCGTTTACTCTCAGAATCATCCCTCTAAAGCTGGACTTCTGTGCTCACCAACTGATGTTGAAGACGCCCTAAGCCAAATGTACAAGCAATCAGATGTTACGTACTGGCCCCCGGCGCAGGACCCCGAAGTAGCAAACGAAGCTTTGGACGAGCTCTACAAGCTGTTAAATCCGCCGACGCATCTCGGTAATGTGGAAGGTACTGCTGATGAGAGAAGTCTAGTGTATGTAACAGGGGGTTATGATAGTCCTCAAGCTATCATTTTTGTCAGTTTCGATCCGGCAATCAAGTTGACGGGGCTGAAGAAATGGGGTGGGATGACAAGGAAGGGACTGGGTGAGGGGCCGCATATTGATGGGAGGGCTACTGGTCATACGTTTGATATGAGTGCGCAGATGGAGGATGCGAATCTCCACGATCCTCAGATTATGTACAGGGGTGTCATGGAAGCAGACATGACAATTGAAATCGAACGAAGAGAAAAGGGCAAGGGCAAAGAAAAGGGAACGGAAACGGAAAATTGCTCACACACGACGGTAATAGCCGGAGCTGCTGATGCAAGTGGTCATACACATCTCAACATACATGAAACTTCCAGTCCCTCCACTGCAAAAGCATCATGGATCTGGCACGAGAAAGCCATGTATCAAGACATTGGACTGGGATATTATTTTGGAAAGGACCGAAAACCGGCAGTCCTTAACGGTGGGGAAAATGGGAGGCACACTCTTTTTACTTCTTAGTTCATATCTAGGGGCGTACATTGCTGGCGTACATCATACTCTATACATATCTAATGCACATTCCTATTTGATAAGTACAAACATTAACTTCCGCTTTTGTATGTTGAGTCTGCAGTGTCTTGAAGAAAGATCGACACATCAAATTAAGTTTCAACGCGTATGGCGGAGAGTGTAACTTCGCATATCGCACATCGGACATGGATCTCGGTGAACGTATAGACGTTGAGTGAGGGGTAAAAGCCATATTTCTTCAATAGCATGCGGCATATACATATTGGCACCAACATTACACATGTGCCGGGCGAGGCAAACAGGTCCAGGTGGTGTTGCGAGAATGCGGGGATGACGTTCTCGATCTATCGAGCATGTCCGAGACATGCATACTGTCACCTATACCTAGCCAACTAACTGAAATATCCTATCATACCCCTCCTTCCCCTCGCTCACTTCTGTCCAAATGTAACATCGCAGTGTGTAAATCGTGCATACGGATACAGCATCATCACACATCATACCCTATCTACATAATGACAATGGCAAGGCAGATTTTGCCTATATGACCTATCCTCACGTTTCATACGTGCAGAACTTCCAGCCTCAGATATAGGTAGCGAGCATCTAGATTCGCATCCCGAAATAGGCGTATCTATAATCATACGCATACGCATACTCATATTCGAGCTATCCACCCATCTATCCACATCCACGAACCTAGCTCATGCAGTAAGAAGCGCACCCTTCGATCTCCATAAAAATCGGGCGTAGAGCTGCGCAGCTTACTTGTATGCATATATGATATTATATTATATCATATCGTACTATGCTATCATCTATCTATCCTCGTGCATGAAGTATCGGGCCCCTCCGAAAAGAGCTATCGGTAGGTAGGTATGGTGTGGTATTCCCGATATTCAGAGATGGAAATGAGATGCAATAAAGTAATAAAGTAAAAATAACGTGTTGTCGAATATCTATCTGATCATTCATTCATTCTAGTTATTACTAGGTACCTACCTAGATAGACATGACATGCGATGCGGTATTTAGTTAATAACGATCGCGAATTCGTAGTTAGTTACCTAGCTGGTATCTCTACCCCTCATTCCCTACCATAGCCATCTGTAATCTATAATCTGCAATCCGAAATCCGAAATTCGAATTCTAGTCGCGGACGACGCTTGATTCTCCACGCACACACGACACGACGAATAAAGGACTAGGTGTTCGGTGAGCGGATCTGGGAATGAATCAAATCAGGGGTCCTGTTCAGTATATGCAGCAGGGTGGGAAAACGTAAGGTAAGGCAGTAGAGTGGTAGCTACCTGTGTAGCCAAGACTCAACAAGGAGGCTCAATGTACAGGTGCATAATCTTTGTCTACTCATGATCATGATCAAGATCATCACATCATGACATACCAAGCACCACCCACTAACCATAGCATACCATGACATTCCTCATCTTCGTCTTCGTACACCTTCAGCCTCTGTCGATTTACGTAGAGAGAAGAAACCCCCCCCCCCCCAAAAACAGTTTCGGTACATCATATCCAATCTAAGAATAATTCACAAGTCATCTATCTACCTAGGTATCTACACAACATTTTCATCACACAAATAAACTACACTACATAAGCCTCCCAATCAATCATCATACACAAATAAACTACACTACATAAGCCTCCCAATTAATCATCATACACAAATAATCATACACAAATACTCGATTTGTATCTACTTTTATTTATATACCTGCCATTACTCATTCGTACCACACACACACACATATCACAGACCTGCGTTGTAATTTCAACCGAAAAATGATTTCCGCATATGTATATCATATCATATCAAATCATATCAAATCATGCCGTGTAGCCGTATGTCGTGTGCGCCCAGATTCTCACTTACACAACACGAATGACCGAGCCGAAAGTGATCTTGTATAATGAATGCATATGCCGATGGCGGGTAAGATATCCATGAAAGAATACCGATCCTGTTTAATTTCTTGATAGGTATGCTTTTGACTGTTCTTGTCTGCAGCTGTTCGACGTAATTGGGGCCGAAGCGTTTTCCGCAACACTAGCATTCTCTTCGTGCATATTGGTGCTGCTCAAAAGGCCTCACGTAGAAAGATGTCATATCAGCCAAGAGGATTTGACCGCAAGCTCTCAATTCATTGATCAAAAAGTAAGCATCGTATTAGTTATTTGGTATGTAAGTACATGCTCAGGTTCACACTCGTGTCTTTATCCGTCGATTCCTCTGCTCCGAAGTCCTACTCCGATGCACCGTGTTGTTTTCAAGTAAACAGTGTTACTTGTCGTCTAAATGCGCAATCCCAAAAGGTCCCCGGGAATATGATGATTCAAAAGTTTTGCCATGTAAGGGTATTGATAAGAATTATTGTTTTTCAGACTTATAATCTTAGTTGACTTTGACATAGTTTCCTAAATATTTGCGTTAACTCTGGGCAATAAACATGTGAGTGTTCCGGAAAGACTTACCAGGGAATTGTCCTTGTTTTCCGTGAATTTTTCCAATCCACCACTCATTCTCATTACTAGTTCTCGTCACAATCTCAATTGTCTCTCCAGCACTGAAGCTTAAATCACCCTCTGCTTGTGCCTCATAATCATACAATGCGGTAGCAGTCTCCGCAGCTGGCGCACCGCTGAGCCTCGATGGCTTCGGTTTTGGTGGTGGAGGTGCCGCTTTCTTCGCTTTAGCGGCAGCACCCCATGAACTACCTGTCGACGCCGATCGCATTACGCTGTTACCAGGATTCGTAGGAGATAACATCGAGGAGTAGGGTGGTGGTGGCTTTTCCGACGATGAGAAGTCGGTGGATGCGCGGCGGTTTGGAGTCGTAGTCAGCGCTGTGGATGTAGATGGCTTGTTCTCAATGGCAAGACGGTTGGGTCCGCCGAGAGCAAGAGGTTTTGGTGGACGTTTGGCACCTGTCGTCTTAAACTTCACAATGGAAAGAGCTTCTGCCTGATCTCGAATATCGCCTCGTTTCGCCTCAAAACCTTCCTCGATATCAAGCTGGAGATTAAAGTATCCAATATCACATCCTTGCATCCTCTCGTGTAGGGTATAAAAGACGTTCAGTTGCATATAGTAAAACGATTGAAACAATGGACGGATAAACTCGCGCTCCAACGTAAAAAGTTTAGGTAACTCGTCCTTCAAGAGGTCATTATAATAATTGAACTCTTGAGTTGCTTGTTCAACATCGTTCTCCGCTTTATACATGGCTTTCTCATCCTTCAAAGTCTTCTCTTTCTTGTCTTGTAGTTTCTTGAGTGTAGCTCGATGTCTGTCATAATCTAATTGCTTGTGTTGGCGTTTGAGCGCAGTCTTCCTGATCACCTTGATAATCTCTAATAATTCATCGGCAGGTCGAATCACTCTTGTCTCAATCATTTCCAGTTCTGGTTGTAGAGTCGCCAAGAGGTCCTTGCAAATTTCTTCGTATTCTTCGCATGCCCTGATTCCCTCTGGATTTCCTTCTTGAACCAGGGAATCCGGATCGGACATTCTTCCTGAAATTGGCTTGTATATTTCGGCGATCGCTTTAGAGAATTCAATCTGATGGTTCATCATGCCATTAATAGCTTCAAAGTATTTTTTACTCTCATCGTGCAGCTTTTTCGTCTCGGTTTCCAACTCCTGGAATCGCCGTTCCGCATCAATATAGACGGCATCTTTTGTTTGTTCCCCTAGATTGAACTTGGCTTTGAACGTTTGAGGCGCCTATCAGTCAGTCAGTCAAAATTGCAAGAATCCCCGCGTTCCGGCTTGAAAATGTTCATTCATACTCACTCTGACCAGGGATTTTTGAAAGCCCTTGAAGGACATTTCCCAATTTTAGCTTCCAAATCTAACAAGAAAAGGCTCAGTGTAAGGTTTTTGAGTTGTTTAACAGAAGGTTTTGTTTGTAGAGTTGTATGTTTGTTGTGATGAGTTGTGATGTTTAAAGTAGAGAAATGCCTCTGGTGGTATTTCAGGGTTGTTTTCTGTAGTACAGACGATGACGAGGAGTGGCTGAGCAGATCTTGTTGACGGCGGTTTCTATCAGCCCTGATTTGCTTGGTATCTTATTATAAGTACCTAGCTATGCTATAGGAAGTAGGATTCTCAATCGATAACAGCTGATAAAACCTAGCAATGGAGGCCGAATAGGTCAAGAATGGGTAACAATAATAAAGGAAGAAGATGAAGGTATTCCCAGGTCTAATATGTCGTAGTGGAAGAAAACTTGCTTTGGAGCGCATTCAAAAGTCAAAATGTTCATGAATTGAATTTATGGAATCGTCGGATCGTTTGCATCAACTCACATGGGGGGGCACATAACACGGCATTCTCAACAAGCATGGGCCTCTGAATGCCAGGGTAAGACGGAACCAACCTGGAATGCATAAAAAGTTTATGAAGTCATCCCAACCTTGGAATTTTAATGATAATTATGAAAGAACCTTCCTGTCCACGGGTCTTCCAGGTTGCTCTGCCTGCCACTGCCACTGCCACTGCCACTTTTGGATTTGATTACTCAGCAGATAATTACATCCCTTCTCCAATCTTGATTGGTTGTTTTTACAAAGAATAAGCCGAAATCATGCTTTCATGCCTCATATCTCTGGCCAGAAAGCCCGTCAATCCGACATCCCGCTCCCGCTCTTTTTAACAAAGGTGGCCAATTATATTGCAGATTCCTTTCAATTTTCGGTGATTCACAAGATAGCACGGAGTTAGGATGAAACCTAGTACAAAGAGAGTTTAGCTTTATTTTAATCCGGTAGAATTTCAAATTCAAAAGTCTCCAAATAAGAAGTTCAATCATTTCCCCTCAGTGGAATTGCCTTCCACTTTGATATCATCAAATTCACCGTTTATCATTCATGATAATGTCGAGTTTGGCTTCAAAATCATTGAGGCAGGCCTCGCGCCTTTGCCTAAAACAATCATCTCCGGCTGCTGGGCTGCTGAGAAGCTCCGCGTTTGCTCGGGTGGCGTCCATATCAAGGAGGGGTTATGTTTCCGAGACGAAGAAGGATAGCGCTCAAGTTACTGTTGATACTGCGATCCGATCAGAACAGAAAGCTTTCTTCAAAGAGACTGGCAAACATGCTCAGGATCAATCCATATCTGGAACTTCCGTAAATGCTGATGCGATGATGAGTCCTATGGCTGGTAATTGCCCCTCGCACAAATTCGTATGTGAAGAAGCTTAACTGACATCGGCTTAGGTGTGCTTAAGCAAGCTACTGTTATGGACGAAGGTAATAGACCAATTTACTTGGATATGCAAGCTACCACTCCGCTAGACCCACGAGTACTGGATAAGATGTTGCCTTTCTATACCGGCTTATACGGCAACCCGCATTCGAGAACCCACGCCTATGGTTGGGAAGCCGACGTGGCGACGGAAGAGGCAAGAGAGCACATTGCTACACTGATTGGAGCTGACCCAAAAGAGATTATTTTCACGAGTGGAGCTACTGAAAGTAATAATATGAGTGTTAAGGGTGTGGCGAGGTTCTTTGGCAGGGCAGGAAAGAAGAGGCATATTATCACAACCCAAACAGAGCACAAATGTGTATTGGACAGCTGTAGGCATTTGCAAGACGAAGGCTTCGATGTTACATATTTGCCAGTGAAGCAAAGCGGCCTGGTTGACATGGCCGAACTTGAAGCCGCTATTCGACCCGAAACTGCCCTTGTCAGTATCATGGCAGTCAACAACGAGATTGGTGTTATTCAACCGCTTGAAGAAATTGGTAAACTCTGCCGCTCAAAGAAGGTATTCTTCCATACCGATGGCGCACAAGCTGTTGGAAAGATTCCTTTGGACGTCAATGCGATGAATATTGATTTGATGTCAATTTCATCTCATAAGATCTATGGACCAAAAGGTATCGGTGCATGTTACGTGCGCAGAAGACCTAGGGTCAGACTTGACCCAATCATCAGTGGAGGTGGGCAAGAGAGAGGTTTGAGAAGTGGAACTCTCGCCCCTGCGTTAGTAGTTGGCTTTGGTGAAGCTTGCCGGATTGCAAAGGAGGAGTTAGATGTAAGCTTCGATATTTCTTTTCCCTTTCTTGCTTACATGATGACCTACTTTACATATGCATGGCTTTCCTAGTGGCCTCCTTGCTTGCAAGTTGAGGCTTCTTTGACGACTCACAGTACCTTGTCTGATTTGCTACTCAATTACTTGAATCGCAGCCCATTAAAGTTGGATTTATGCTGACAATACAATAGTATGACCATGCTCGCGTCAAAAAGCTTTCGGACAGACTCCTCAAGGGCCTTCTCGCAATGGAGCACACCACTCAAAATGGTGACCCAAATCATTTCTATCCAGGATGCGTAAACGTTTCTTTCGCTTATGTCGAGGGAGAATCTCTTTTGATGGCACTTAAGGACATTGCTCTATCATCAGGAAGTGCTTGTACATCTGCCTCCCTCGAACCCAGTTATGTCCTCCGGGCACTCGGTAGCAGTGATGAGAGTGCACACAGTAGTATCAGATTTGGTATTGGACGTTTCACCACCGAGTCCGAAATCGATTACGTCTTGAAAGCAGTCGAAAACCGAGTCACATTCTTACGAGAGTTGAGTCCACTTTGGGAGCTCGTACAGGAAGGTATTGCTTTGGACAGTATTGAGTGGAGTCAGCATTAAATAATTGCTAAGAATCAACTGAAATTTGGCGGGGTATTGGCGTTTTGTGATATCACTTCAGCGGGATGGAGGCTCTTTTGGGTGTAACATAGCGAATGATTGGGCGAAAATAGTTCCCTCCATGTATACTGACTAAATGATAATGAATGCAACAATAGCATATCGAATTCAAGTACATCTCACCTTTGAGTTAGATGGTTTTAAAAAAATCCGACGCCTTCTCGTTGTCTTGAGAGGTCTTGTGAACTACACAATGAATCCATGCATGTATGTTTCACCACAGTGCAAGACAGACGTCCGAGTCAATGATGATCGCCCACCATTCCCCTCCCTAGCCCTAGGTTGTTCTAACCGACACGTCAACCAAGCCCGCCAAGTGAATGCCCAACTAGATCCACATCACAACCCCACCACGCAGTGGATTCCCCACTTTCTGTCTGACTTTTGGAATCTCTCCACTTGTTCTGCAAAAGGTACATTGCACACACACACTCTCGCTCGTGCGATAGATAGATAGACTGTCTATTTCCCCGATCTTGGAGCTCGTATGGTAGAGAAAAGCAGAACGAGGTAAAAAGAGCAAAAAACAAAGTAAGATAACGAGATGGGTCGAATCCGTCCGGGATCGAACCCAAGAAATGCAAAAGAAAGGGCCTAATCCGGGATCGAACCGGAGACCTCTTACATTTTAGATTCGGAAACCCAAAGCAAGAATTCTACCACTGAACTATCAGGCCGATGAGAGATGTTGGTCTCTTTGGTGGAGGAGGGGTGGCTATGTAATAATATAAATAAATGATAAATGGGTGTAGAGAGCTCTACTTAAGCGAAATAAGACGCGGAATATAAATAGAATCTGAAAGGAGTCCAATCATTTGAATTTCTTTTTGATATTATATGAAATATATACAGTCTTGATTATTCATGTAAAGAAAGCTCGAATTATGATTTGCTCTTCTCAAACTTTATTTCTTGATTTGAATTGGATTCGTGATCTATTAAAGAAGTTCTTTGAAAGGGTACTCAATTCCCGCCTCTTGTTTTGATTATGTAGAGGTAGGGGAGAATAGGATTGGTGGGTGAGCGGATGGGTAGTAAAGCGAGGGTAGTTTGTCTAATTTAGTACAGTTATCTACCGCTAGTACATACAGTATGTGTAGAAATTATACGATATAGGGTAGGAAAACTCAAGACGTATATACAGAAACGTATGCTTAATCTCTCGGCTCGTATGTAGATACATAGATGCCTTTGAAGGGACATCTAATTGTCCATCCTGGATTTGAATATTGTGATTGATGTTGACATTTTACAAATTCCTCTTTGTTGAGATCACCAGTCGATACATGGATTGACAGGACACTTCTCACTTTTCAATTCTTTTAATAAATTCATTCTTCAATTGTTTGATATCAAATTTCATATTTTGATTGTTCTATTTCTAATAAACAATTGTGATAATTCCTAAGATATATAGATTGATGTATTAGAAGATATCCATAAGTCAATTTTTTGCAGTGTCCCGTCAGCCCGCACACCCACTGGTGGATCTCTTCAGCAGTATCTCGGGGATTAGATGGGACAGTCAATAATTCTTGAAAGGGGGTAAAGGTAGGGAGGAGGAGCATATCTGAGTAGGTATACGAATGAGAGAACGGGTGGAAGCGGAGAGCCGGAGTTTGTTATTGAGTGATAGGTAGATGGATGAAGTAGAATTGAGATGTATGCCCTGACAAAGCAGATATGAAATATATTTAGCATTTGTTTATGGTGGTTCGATAGATTTCATGGGAAGTATATCATACTGTAGAATGTGGAAATTTAGCAGCTTCAGAATTATGAATATGTCAATATCTTTAGCGAAGCTCTATCTTGAAGGTCAGCACTCTTAGGGGGCAGAATAACGATACTTTATAAAAAGAATAACTAGATTGTGGATGCTTTAATTTATTGAATTTTGATTTTTTTTTACAATTAATTGTTTGGTTGCCTACACTTTTGGAATACTCCTTCCAATTTATACATTAGAAAGATATGACCAAGGCAATTTCCATCAAGTCAAAAATTCCACCAACGTTCCCAGCATATCCTTCATCAATTTCTCCTCACCATCTCCCTCTTCATCTCCTCCTACCAGGGTATCCAATTGCTCTTGTATCGTCTCCCTCAATAAATCCAACCCCTCATCTCTCTCCGCCAACAATTCCCGAATCTTCTTTTCTGCTCCTGCATCCTCCGCCACTAACCATGCCAAAATAACATCAACAGTCTGCAGACAAAACAATCCCGCGTCCATCCTTCTCGACAACCATTCGTCTGCCATCTCTTCTCTCTCCTCCGCGCCAAGTCTCGTTTGTTCTTTCCGGATTTCCGTATCTACAGCCGATACACGTGCTGCATAGTCTCGACGAAGTTTCACAAGCTTGCCTATCTTTTCATAGTCTTTCTCTACAAATTTGGCAAGCGTACGAATCCGACCGGCTTGATTGGCAGGCAGTAGACGCAGTAGACTTGAGAATATCCCTAGTAAATGCTCGATGGTTTGACCGTCGATTTTCTTCATAAACATTCCGAATACTACCTTAAGACCCGCCGCCTCTACCAGTTTTTCACAAACTTCTGCGCCAGATTGTCCTCCCAATGCATGGTCTAATAGTCTAAGTGCGCGTGATTTACTCATTTTGCCCTCTTTGACCATAATCAAACAAAGTTCGACACCTTCTGCTTCAACAAATTTTTGTTTTCCTTCCGGCTCATCAACACAGCAGGTCAAGGAGTCGAACACGTTTTCTACGAATTCTTCTTCCTCAGTTCCTTTGATAGGATCGCGTTTTCTGTAAGCTGCCAATATTTGAAGTAGGAGATCAACACCGTCTAGTTCGCAAAGTTTCCGTCGATTCAGTGAAGATGATTGAAGGAGAATTGCCATGACTTCTGCCGAGTATTGCTTGTTCTGGCTCACCGGCGACTCTTTTTTCGGTATTCGATTCAGTAACCAATTCAGTATGTTTGTCTCCTGGCCAATCTTCTCCGCAAGCGTTATTCTCGACGCCAAATTTTCCAACACAGACAATGCATGATATACACCACTCCTATCCGATTCATTGGTTTCATTGAACCTCGCAAAATTCGAGACCAACAGATCTAATAAATCTGCCTCAATCATAGCATCCACGATTTGATTCCACTGTTCTTGTTCGGCCTCCACGTCTTCGTCAGTAAGTTCGCTGATGATCTCCACGGCATCAATCGCAATATCTGTGTTTTCGTGCGCCAGCAACCCAACCAAGCTTCCAACACAACCTAGCTTCGCAAATTCTCCATATAATTCAGGATGTTCTGATAGAATACTTAGAGCTTTGATATCTGCATCTAGGTCCGCTTCGCTCCCCATAAACTTTTGCGGATCGCTTTCAAATTTAGCTCTCAATTCCGCGTTCTTCGTGATCTTCTTCTCAAAATTCAGGGCCATTTTCCGTAACCAGGCCGAGTCGATTTTCTCAGGAACGATCTCCGCGCTTTCTTGTCCATCCATATAATCTAATATTTCAGATTCATCTTTCGTGATACCACCACCGAAAAATCGACCCTCTTCATCGTCCGGAATATCTGGTCCATAGTCTTCTTCGTCGTCATCAGGCGGAGGGGAAGGTCCAGCTTCTGTATCATCATCCTCTTCTACTGCCGGTTGTTTGCCATTGCTTTTCGCATGGCCGTTCGCGGATAATTTCGCGGATTTATAGATTTCATCTAATGGATTGCTTAGCAATGAGTTGGGGTACGAAAGAGAAGGGTTGCTAACTAGGATCTCGAGTAGGTTCTAATTTGCGCTTATGGCTGGGTAAAGCTGGCTTCTGCAGAATGTTAGACGGGATAAAATGAGCCTAGAACAATATATGCGCACCTTGAACAAATCATCAATACTTGACATTGTAACGGATGTGTTCAACTCGAGGCTGTACGTTCGTAAGCGTTTGCCAATGCGATTGCGATACGGTACGGACCGCAGGCGTGTGTAAGATACGCTTCTCGAATGATTGGGCGTAGATTCAATAGAATTATTGTGGAATTGGAGTTGAAATTTGTCTTTTGTTTGTTTACTTGAGAAATTATAACTTTGGAGCTCCTTGAGCTTAACCTAGGCCTTGCTTAGTCATTGCGTTCTCCATAAGGCTGACCGGAATTCACGTCATCCTTTTGACCTTGATACTGATTCTATAGCTACCTTTGTTGCATCTTGACATTATTCTCTGTGGGGAATATTTCATCCAAGTCAGGACTAATACGGGTGTTGAATAATCTCATTTCCGCTCTTAAACTCATACCACTGAAGAATACCTGACTTTGATTCGAAATTCCTGGATTGGCCATACATTAATACAATTGCCTTTTAACACTTAATTCGTTTGAGAAATTTGGATTCGCCAGATAAGTTTAATAAACATGGATCCCTCAGAATCAGGAGGGTTCCTTCCAGATGCTCTTCCCTCCCCATCCCCAAGCACTACTTCGGTCAGCTCCACCTCTTCCAATTTACCACAGCCACGTGCGAAACCTCTTCGTGCTGGTTCAGGGAAAGAACAAGCTGCAAGGCGCTATGTTGAAAACCGACTGCTCCACATCTCGAGGCGATACACTAAGAAATTCGAGGAACATGAAGAAGGAGATTCGGTAGTCGGCTATGTGAGTATGAAGGAGGTAGCTAAGGACCTTTCCGAAATAATAGATGTGTTGTGGCTCTCAAGTACACGTACGTACCTTCACTCATGTATGATACTCGGAATCTTAGCCTGACTGGAGTAGCGAACTTACAGATTCCGTACTTACTAAATGTGGCTCTGGTAATGACTACATATCCGACCAAGTTCCCACCAGCACCGGTTGCAACTTTTGCTGTTCTGAGAAAGCTGGATCATGCATTCGCTAGCTTACTGAAAGGAGAAGACTCGATTACTGGAGAGATTTTACCGGGATTTCTAGCGGGCAGGAGAGCTGGAATGAGCCAGACTGACATGGTTAGATGCAGAAGTATAGTCGAAGACACCAGAGTGATGATCGTAGACGTCATGAGTAAGGAAGTTGAACCAGAGCCCGAACCTGAGAGCGGCGCCGACGATGATGGTGAAAACAGAGCCGACGAAATGAATCTGGACGAGGAGGACGACTCGGAATATGACAATGATGAGCTTGCCATGGACATTGCCAGAGTCTATGAGGCAACCATCATGGAGCTCGGCGAAAGGCTAGAAAGTGGTCCTAACATTGGAATTGGGCACAACGATTCATGAAGGGAACAAATCTTACAGTAACGAAAGGTTATTAGGGCACTTAGATGAATTCTACTAAGCCAAGTTAGCTAAACTGTCAAAAATATGAGGAGCTGCCCCAAATCGGCGATACTTTCCGTCGTTAAGGCAAAAGCTCCGGTGGGATGAAGTATGCTTCTCCTATATTTGTGGCCACGGATGTGAAGAACCAAAGGAAGAAGTATGTAGTTGGCGGTCTGGACTACCTCTGAAGACCCCAGTACTCGTAAAAGTGGAGGAGCAACCTGACTAATGCTACTGCGATAATTCGGCCTGCATGTCAATAGTTCGTGGAGGGAATTGCGGAGATAAAAGGAAGACTGCGAAGGTATCCCATCGAGGAAGAAGACATAAGCGCGATATCAGTGGATCTCAGAAATGGAGAGATGGGAGGAATCATCGACCTATGCGGCCTTAGGGTCTTACATAAAAATGTCAGTCTCCTTTGTTCAGGAGCCTGCACTGTACTTATAACACCGATCGGCTGCGTTTTAATCAATCCTGTTGGTACCATCCAATATTGATCTTGCCTGCAAGATTACCGACTTACATAATTGCGTGTGCCAATTGCTCATCTGTGATATGTACTCAAGATAAAAGTCCTATATCGAGTACCACCCTCCGGAAAGAAAATTTCAGATTTTCTCAGGTTCTTTTGCCTTTCGTGCTTGTTAGTTGGCATGATCATAAATCGCTGTCGTGAAGACTATCATACTAAGCCGGACATTCCCAAAATCAGTACTTTTGTTGAATGTCTGGAAAATCTAACAAGCTAACTATTCGGGGAATTAATGAAATTGACTTTGAACAAAACCGCTCATAAACAGCCAATCTTGCTCTTTCCCTTCAATCAACAGTCCACTTCAAGCTATCATACAAGAGACATGTTAGGAGGGACACGAATAGCTCTGCTTGTAATGACCAAATTTGCTATTTACCAGATTATATCGCAGTTGTCTAGTCGTATCGCACCTCCTCTTTTTCACTTTCCACATTGAGTTTTCCGAACCCAAAGAATCTCAATCCCCTCCCCCAACTCTCCGTACCACGGCCCTTCCTGTTCACTTCTTTCCGCTACTTCAAACCCTACCCTCTCCATTTGCCACTGCTTCTTTTTACACATCTCTACAAATATTGCATACGTCTCGGCGTTACGTACCGTACTCGAGATTAACACTTCCACTTGTGGATACAGATCAAAGAGGTCTTCAAGCGTTGCAATCAAAGAAGGAATTACAGCGGGAGAGTAAATTACGTCTGCAGCAAGAATTAGATCCAACGGAGTCTGGTTTGATCCGGCGGTTGACGTTGGGTTGGATGATGGGCATTTCGATGATAGAAATTCGGGAAATGTTTCAAATTCCCCAGTTGGAAGCATGTGGCCCCAGATAAGCTCGCATGTGCTTGTTTTGGACGTTGTATTTTGAGATAGCGTAGGAGTAATGGCATCTGTTAGATTGTTGAGAAACAGACTTGTGTTCATCAGAGTCAACGTTTCAGAGCTTCCATCGGTAGCCAGAACGTGCTTTGCGGAAAGATATTTGGCGCACAGGATTGATATAAAACCAGTGCCACAGCCAAGTTCTAATATCGTTTTGTTGGAGATAAGATGAGGATTGAGAGATATGTAAGTTGAGAGGTGAAGAGCGGCTTCCCATGTCCGAAGCCCTGTGGTTCCGGAACCAGATAGAAGGGATGCGGATTCGAGGATGGTTATTGTTGGAGTTTGCGAAGCTAGTGAGGTAGAGGTAGAAGAAATAGGAGGAAGAGAGGAGAGGGTATAGGTCACATAAGATTGTTGCTGAGCAGCTGTAGCTTCTGAAGGAATAGGGGTAGAAAGAAGAATAGAAAGTTGGCTCATGAGATTATCTGATATTCCCTGGAGAGAAGAAAGACATTGTCAGAAAATTTGGAAAAAGAAACGACGAGAGCTTTATGTGATTTATTCTCACTTATAGAAGGTACTGAATACTTGTATTAAAGAACAACTAAACTAAAGAAACTGCATCTTATGCATACCTACTTGTTCTTCCCAATCGTGAATACTGTTCTCGATTCTTTTGGTGAGTTCTTTCAGAATTTTCAATTGATACCTCTGAGGTGGAGGATACTCCAAAACATTTTCCTCAAATAGTCTTGAGTAGATAGCTTCCTGGAAAGCATCATCCCGAAGATATTCTTCATCTGGGTATTCGAGATTTTGTAGAAGTTGAAGATATTGACGACAAAACCTGTCCAATTGATGGTCCTTGAAAAGAATAGGCATTTCTGATTTCTGTCTCTTTGAATTTTGAATTTGACTTTGAACTTGAATTTGTCAGAATATTTCACAACTTGATGAAATACTGTATTAAAGACAATCACTGGATTATTTGAGGATGGATAGATCCTCGATATTGAATGACCTTGGGGTGTTCAAGGACGGAGTAACTATTCCACCATAATATTAAGGCATCAACCTAGGGTTTCTGACCTTTCGGATCCACTGCTTCGCACATTTTCACTGCTTACTAATCAATTTGGCTAATCTTAGCGCAATTTGACTTACCGAATCTGAGAGCCACTCAAACTTTTTTGCAATCCTCCTACGACAGCGACATCCATCGACAATCTATATCACGACAACTGTCTCGAAACATCGCAGACAGGCTGATCGACTTAGATAATCGCAAAAATGGCCGACAATAACGCCCCAGTTACGCTGCGAACGCGCAAATTCATTCGCAACCCTCTCCTCGGCCGAAAGCAAATGGTCGTGTAAGTCAACATCATTCTTATCGAATCCGCCACCTATTTCGAACAATTACAGTATTGAAGGAACACTATTCAAGTGTCTTTGGATTACAATGAGGGGTACGAATATTTATGAATTGGAAGACTGATGATGGATTTTTTTAATATAGTGACATCCTTCACCCAAACCGTGCCAACATCTCCAAGGATGAGCTCAGAGGCAAACTCGCCGAACTCTACAAGGCTAGCCAAGACCAAGTCAACGTTTTCGGTCTCCGAACCCAATTCGGTGGTGGAAAGACAACCGGTTTCGCCCTCGTCTACGACTCCCCAGAGGCAATGAAGAAATTCGAACCCCACTACAGATTAGTCCGTGTTGGATTTGCTACCAAGATCGAGAAGGCCAGCAGACAACAACGTATGTTACAGTCCTTGTCCTGGTTTGCGGAATTGCTTGGGTGGAAGTGAATTTAACCTGCGAATTGATACTGACATGTGCTGGAATTTAGGCAAGCAACGCAAGAACAGACAAAAGACACTCAGAGGTACTGCGAAGGTCAAGGGTGCCAAGAAGAAGAAGGAGTAGAGCACTCGCTTCATCTTGGGGTGGGAAATGGTTGGTGTTGTTGGACCTGGGGATTGGCTATGTGCTTTGTACGCATCTGCATCGATCCTCCATCGTATCATGCTTTGGTGTAATTAGGGAACGAAAATAGAGGCATGATGGCATGAAACCTCTAATCGGTCTCTATTAGGTCCACACTTCAAACTTCAATCACGGTGTTTTGCTCGTTCATTACGAAATCTGGTTTATGTGCAGCATGGTCATGGGTGATATAAAATGGAAATATGCGTTTGCAACCTGGAGGTTGCTATTCCTCAAATTTTACTTTTTCTCACATGGCTCTCTCCCACCTCCCACGTCACCATTTCATCATGGACACAAATATTCACCTGCAAAGATTCCTTTGACCGTTTCTGCAAGCGCTTTTTGACATGTCATTTTATGCAATTCACCTTCTGTCAACAAAGTTTGCCTCGTGCGCCACTACAAACTTTATATCGACATTTCAAGCTGAACTGCCCCAATTTTCCCCCTTTTGATGTTACAAACCACATTGCGTCCTGCAAGCAAAACTATGTTAGGTAGGTATCTCTCCGTATTTCATTTCTGCCCGTACCTTCTTCAATTGCTGTTTGAGTCTCGGTCTTTGTACATGTTCATCTGCATTGGTTGTGGAGACGACGGACGTCTCTCTGTTATACAAGCACTGGTAACTTCAGCTAGCTTGTGGTTCTTTGCGTTTCACATACTTCTGGAGATGAGATAACAGCATATCTCACATGCTAGGCGAACACAATTGACTTATGTGATAAGAAAAGAATGACATTGCCAATACGAATGAACACAAAAAGAACGTTCTGGATCCAAGGCGACAAAGGTTCCTATCTCATGGACCCAAGGCTCGGCTCGTGGGCTTCCCGAATTGCTCCTCGAGGAGGAGATTTCGGAAGTCTGGCCTCATTTACCATGAGGTCCAGACAAGTTACAGATGGAGGGTAGTAATCTAATCTTTAAGCTTGAGATATCATACATTACTTTCCTACCGATGACCGAAGTGCATCTAAAAATCAAGTATGGCACTATCTCATATAGACCTTCAGCAACATATCAATTGTGATTGATTTAGATAGTAGATAACAGTAAATGTGATTGAGAGATCGGCCACTGCGCGAAGCAATACCATTACCATGTTGGCACCATGTACTGTACAATGACATGAAGTTCATCCTAAGTATCTGCTGTGCTTCGCTAGTACTGAGAAACCCCAGAAATGAGACATCGATTGTACAAGTAGATGCAGTGCTCATCCGGTCTTCAACGTTCAGCTTTCCCTACCATGACCCTGATTTCTCCCCCAGAAACAGAGAAATTTAAGGGAGCCAGGCACTACACTTTATTCTTCACCGTACCCCAAATCATGAGGGTGGGTGGGGTCTATTTCCTGCCGTGTAACATTTGTGATACCTATCATGTAACCTTAACTTCTACTTAAATGCACTTTTTGTGGCACGAGGTCGCTTACCCCTCGCAGATTGCATCTTTGAGATTTCCAATGCCGTGGCAAGGTCAGTTCATCTGTGATTGGTTCAGGAATGATATGTGAGTTGCACCCGGAAATCTTGCTTTTGCTCTATCAAAACGAAAAATGCAATAGTCTGGTATGGATACCATTGCCAAGAGCTTAGGATCGTCTCGTTTCTTCCTGCTTTGGCACTTGGAAGGCTCTTTGCATCATGGCATAAGCAGGGAAAATATTTTGGGTCGATATTGGTGATTGCGACCAGGAAACACAGTCAGAGACATGGTCAATTTGGTCAGTTTGGTCAATTTGGTGGATTAACTTGGTCAATCTGGTCAATGTTTAGACCAGACTGGTCGAAGATTGGCCAAAGTTGGAAGGAGATATGATATTTGAATGGTGATTATTATTATTATTAACTCTGACTGCTATCAGCGTGTTGCTGTGACTATCCGATAGTACCCAGTACTGTATAGTGTATCCAACACCCAAAACTTAAATATTGAACGTATTGATACCAGTATCGTACGACAAACACTCTGGTCACCGTCAACCACAACACAATAAACCCAAAAGTTCTGAATGTCAAACAGCATTTGCAAGTGAGCTCGAGCTAAAGACGATGCCCACATTTTCTCTTCCATCTGCCATAAGTCTTTTACCAGATATTTTGTTGTCTCCATGAACGTATTTGTAG